AAAGCATAATAAGTGCAAACATCGAATGTTTTTTAAAAAGGATTTAAAAACAGCCATTTCCTTACAGTTTAGGTCCAAGCTGTCTCTTTAAGAGATGAATACAGAATATACTGAATTCAGTAGAATTACTTTAAAGACAGCAGAAAATGGGAAATTGAGTACAGTCTCACTATACAGTATGAGAAATGGCCAAAACCTAAAGGAGATTTGTGTTCTCATAAGGTGTTTATTTTAACTAATTCATATTATCTTCCAGAGGCGAAGATCCGATTCTTTTGACAGATCAAGAGGTTTACTATTTTCAAATCCCTTTCAGCATGGGAGAAAGCAGATGATGTTAATGGATGTTACTTGTCTGAACGTAGCAAGAGATGTTTGTGTAGGAAATGTAGTGGAAACATTCGCAGGCAGGATTGTTGGCTGCTATTCGGTTTATGCCCACATTAAAGCTGCTGTAAGAGTCATATCTTCATAGATTATCTGATTCATAAACTCTTTTCTTCAAGTATTTGGGTCTTAAGCTGCTGGTGCCATCATCAAAACTATCTGAATTTTATATCCCATTTTTATACACGTGTCTTTACTATAGGGTGTGCAGTTGGCTTGAGTTTAGTGGAAATTTGATCTCTTATGTAACACCTAGCAGGCAAATTCTGGTATCGTGGTAGGGGACACACTGTGCTTTTCCCCTGCAAAGGGGAGTTCCTTGATCAACTGTCTTCGAGCAGATTCAGTGATGTTGTTCCTTTTACTTTCGTACTGTAAACCTACACATCCTGTCCTCATTCCTCGAGTAACAAAAGAGCTTTCCTCCGGCTCGCTGGCTTCTCTTCAGTGGTCTTTGTCTTCCCTCCTAGGAAACATTTTGAATGTGTCAGAAGAGTCCCAGTTCCTCAGAAAGGCGTCTGGCCAAGAACCTGACCAAGTTGGTCTGTAGTATTTCTCTCATTAAAAGCCTGATTCTTCCCCCCCCAAAAATCATCTGTGAACAGTAACAAAGGATTAATTGTGGAGTCTTGGGACTTGGCAGAAGTGCATATAAATGAAGTACTTTTTTGGAAACTACATTCCCTGTCTTGCAGATCAAAAAATATATCCAAAATATTTCAATGTGTATCAGTGGATTAATTCATTTGATTGTCACTTCCCTTCCTCTTCTCTTTGTGGGGAGGGGCACTTCAGAGATTGGAATTTTAATTGCTTGACCGCAGTTTCTTATTAGTGGTGCACCAAAAGGGTATGGATCATTAATTAGGACTAAATATAAGGATCTCTGAGGTTGAGCTATAGCATCAAACAAATGAGTTTAGACAACTCTCGACTAAAATTACAGTCTATCAGTAAATTGAGTTATAATAATGAAACCATTAAAATTTTTTTCTGAGTCACTGCGTGTTGGTTTCTGTGTTTGCAGAGTACATTCTGGTGGTCTTACAGATATTGGTGGGTTTATATAAATATATATTTAATATTTGTATATTTAGCAGACATATGTATTCTGAAGGCATATACATATATACATACTTATAGTCTAGTTATACATAATTCAGAGTTGCTATACAATGGCATGCCTTATTTAGTTATATTAAATGTTTTGGAGGTTTAATCCATTAAGTAGTTTTATTGGCAATGTATAAAAGCAGTTTTCTTGATAGTTGCTTTCTTTTTCAGTCAGTACCTGAATTTATGCTACTGTATCCAAAGGAAAATCTAGCTCTTGAGTGTAGTGGTCTGAAAGCAGAATATTATCCACATTATTGCTTTAGTGTCCAATAATTTGTATATTTTCCTGGTTTTAAAACTTGATGATGAAAGCGAATTGTATAACTTCAGTTATGCTTTAACTTTGCTGTATCCATGATTCTCAGTGCAGTGTGGAATAGGATATTCCAATATAAACTTGTTTTCTTCTGTGTGGATTAAGAGCTGGTTAGTGCAAAATGTAACATGTAGGAGGTCACCCTAAATTGCTGTGTATGTAGTAGGGTTACTGGTGCATTGCTATAAAACAGCATGTTCTTCAGTATTTGCATCCAGAATTTAGAAGAAAATAGGAAATAATTGCTCATAAAACTTATGAGTCATCTGAACACTGTGTGCCTTATTTCAGCTAAATTCATAAACTGAACTTTGGTTATGGACATGTTATTATGCATGTTGATGAAGCAACTGGAAAACAGTGGCTCTGAAATTTAAATAATAACAAAAAAATTTATAAATGGATCAAGTTCTGCCACCTGTTCCACTCCCATATTACATTTGTGCCTTTATGTGTATCCATTTGGGGACTTTTAAAATATGAAACGTGTTACAGTATGCAACAGCCATAAAGTCTGGACTGTAAAACCCAGCAGAATTCAGCCATTAATCTAGAGCTGTGCTTATATTTAGTAGGACATAATTAGTAGAAACTACCGAAATCCTTTTTTTTTTTTTTTTGACAGAAAACCTATATCACTTCATCTTTTTATTCTGGGAAGATGGTTGTGCTTCTGCTCTCTCTGCCTGATCCTGCTTCCTCTTTCATGGGGGTTTCTGAAACATTTCAGCTGTCTGCCATGAATTCACTGGTGCATCACATGGAAACTTGGCTTCTTGGCACCTGGAAGGGACGTCTCTTTTCTTCTGTCCCATCTCTGGGGAATTAAATCCACATTTTGTGTTCCTGCTTAGGTTTACAGCCAAATTTTTTACTTGAACTTCCTTCCTCCCCCTGCCCCTCTCTCTTTTCCTTAATTAAAATATGCTAAGGTCTAAGGCATATAGCTGCGACTGAAAAAGGACGAGAATAGCACAGATGAAACAGCTACACTATTGAGACCTGGACCTTTATTTAGCATTACATTTGCTGGCATGTCACTGTAACAGGGTTCAAAAGCTGACAGGATTACTTTTTTTCAACAGATTAATTGTTATTCTCTAGTTTTAAAGAGAACAAAATTTTGTTTCCAGTCAAACGTGATTTTTACAGCTTCAGCTGTTCCTCCCATCTGAGTTAACGGCAAACTCGTATTCATTCAGTGTAAACAGGAATAGATTCACCACATTTGTATGTGTTCAGTTTCTCTGCTTATGACTACATACATGAGACTATGAGTACATCCAAACTGAGATGCCAACTGCTGCAACCAGTATCTCTATGACACTGGCTAAAACTGCTTATTTTCAGCACCTTTGAAAATCACGTAATTTATGGAGTACCCAAGGATGAGCACTGGTTTTGGGAGTTAGGTAATTCAGATTTTTAGATAATGGACTTCAGGTATGTGTCTACAAAAAGATTAAAAAAATAAATCACAACACTTTTTGTTTCAAATAGTTTCTGGAAGCCTCATAGAATTCTGTGCTAATTTTTCCCTGAGTAGGGAACAAATTAATTTAAAAAATGCTCAGAATAGGAGCATTGAGCTCAGAATAGGGACAAGGAAATCAAAACACTGGTGTTGGGTAAGACAGCTTTTCTGATAAATCACAAATGATTCTTCTCACAGAGGAATATTGTGTAACATACCTAAACAAAGAAGTTCTTGTAATTGAAGTTAACAAACTTTTTATAAAGGAGAGAGTGAGCAATGGCAAGATGTGCACTAAGCTGTTTTAGAGAAAAGATGGCAATAGATGTTAACAGAGCCTGGACTCCAGTTTTGCACTGATTTCTTTCTTGGTAAAACTGTTATGAAGTGCCTTAAAAATAGTGATACTGCAGTTATCTCTGGTTTTGACAGAAAATCCGTTGTTGTTCTTCTCCACTCTTCTGAATGCTTTTGTTGCTTTATTTTTGAACTTCAGAACTTCTCTAGGCTTTCCCTTATTTAACGTCCTTTACCACAATGCCGCTTTGTAATTTACCCGCCCTTTTGTTAATCAGTCCTTCACAGCTTCTTCAGCTGAGCTGACACGGTGATCTGCACCATTTCCTTTGAAATGGTCTCTCACAGCATTTTAATAACGTCCCCAAATAATTTCACAGTGCTCCTGCCCTTTCAGTTCATGTCACTGCTGTCTGAGTCCTGGGTACAATCAAGTGGCTACAGCCAGTTAGACAGCCACAGCTGTGTGCAGTGGGGATAGAGACTTAACCAGGGCACTTAAATGTGAGGTCTTTTCTTGGCTCAGGTTTATGAAGGAGAAGGAGACTGTGACTGGCAAATTTGCCAAGCATATGAAAAGCAAAAGTAATCTTGAACTACCAAAAGAATTAAAAAGCAGAGAAAAATGTTGCAATATTTACCTGCATAAAGAGAGGAGTATGAAGTACATGTGTAAAAGAGGTATTGATTTTTGAATACATTAAGATAATTTCAGAATCCTACATTCCCTTTTCCTATCCATACTGGAAAAAAGCCTGGAAGAGGCTGAGAAGAGATCTAATCTGACACCTCACGAAAGGCTGAAACTCAATTTTATTTCCCCAAGAGAAATCTAAGAAGTGAATTGGTTTTTATTTACTCCATATATATATATATATGTACAAGTAGATTAGCTAAAACTGCTTCCCAGCAAGCAGAAATAGCTGTTGAGATCGGTGGTGTGATACCGACAAGCATGAACCAGAAGCAAGATGTGAGTTGGCAGCACTGGAAGTATTGTTGGAACATTTTAGATAGGTTCACTGTCACTTGATTGAATGTCTTTCTTAAAAACTTCCACGTACCTCAGACAGCCCATGGCTTCTGTACGTAGGAATTCCTGCATGACTACTTACAGGCTGCCTGTAGAGGTGGGATGGCTCTCCTGGCCTTACACCAGCTGTATGTTCTATTTTGCCTATTCTGTTCTTCTTCCTCATTTTACTTATCGTACCATACTGAGACTGGCAGCAGTCAGATTTCCATCTCCTGTATTTGCACAGCTTCCAATGCTGGGATGCTGGGTGAGCAAAAATAATGAACAACACTGGGAGTTAACACCAGCTCAGAGAACTCACATGAGGATGCAACTACTGAATGTCCATTTATTTATTGCTTTCCTTTTTTTTTTTAAATTTCTCTTTTCCATAGTGAAATACATGAGAGAAGCAACCCCCTACGTGAAGAAAGGCTCCCCTGTGTCGGAGATCGGGTGGGAGACGCCTCCCCCCGAGTCCCCCCGCTTGGGCTGTGCCTCTGCTGACCCAATGTCGCAGCTTTCACTCTCCATCCACAGAGACAAGAAGACAATACCACTCAAGATGTGCTATGTAACACGCAACATGACAGTGTCAGACCCTGAAAACAGGTGAGCTGGGGATTTGCCTGGGGTTGGGATTTTGCATTCGTGTTGAATTGTTGTTGATCTTTTCAGCGCTGGGATTGGTGAGCAGGAGCTGGGCTCTGGCCACACGTAGCAACCCAACAAGGGAAGCAAGCACTGATTTGGGAAGGGTGGGTAGTTGTGTCTGAGACATGTGATGCTGGGTTCAGCTTTTGGGTGTGCTAAAGAAACTCTTCGATGTGGTAATCCAGCATTTTTATTAGAAATAGAATCGCAGGAGTTTGTTTTCATCCTGATTAAGTGTCTGCTTTTGAAGGAAAAGACACTGTACACACTAATTGGTTACATCCTCCAGGCTGGCTAGATCTGATTCCACTAAATTGCATTTTCTTTCCTTTTTCTAATGAATATTATTTTAAAAATGGTCTGTTTTGTCCATTCCATTCTGGACATTAAAGTCAGGAAGAAGAGAAAAGTTCCACTTACAAAGCATTTATGGGGAATTTTTGTGACTTCTTGGTTGGCTTTTTTTTTTATGATGTTAAAAATAGGATGAGCTTTTACTAGCCCTTATTTATAACATATGTGGAACAGCTGCACAACACCAGCACACTCCCTGATCCTTGCTCTAACAGCTGCTAATAAAAAAGGGACCAGTCAAGTCAGGGATGCAGACTGATTCTCCATCCAAATAATGGCCTTTTTGTTTCTCTGCAGTGTGCTGCCTGCCCAGAAGCTGGGTGTAATGTCTTTGATTCTCAGCACTTACATATAGGCGTAAACAAAAGTTACATTTTCATTTGCAGAGAAGGTTAAGAAGAGGACCGGAGAACAGAAAGGGGTCTGGGGAGAATGGGTTCCTTTGTAATCTCTTGCACTGCAATTCAGAAACTTTATTAGTATCTGTGTAATTTTCTGTCTTTTTCATATTTGTCTGACCTTTTAATTTTCACCCTCCATGCTTTATTGTTTAGTATTGATTTATTCTCCTTCTGGTCTTCATCTCACCACGTGGTTACCACCACAGTCGGTGATAACTGACAATTACAGAACTGCAATTGTAAAACAGAAATAACCCTGGGAGTCTTTCTCAGTTTAAATCAAGATGTTTACTGATATTGGCCACCTTTTTTCACCTATATCTGTATAGTTTAAGATGTTGAGGTTTGACAGCTGTATCACTTACTTGTCTGAGAGTTTGTTGTTCTCTCTGCTATGGAGTGTATTTTAAAAATACCCGTACAGGTCACATTGTTTGAACTGATACAGTGTAATGATACTTTACATGTGTTGGCTTCACTTTGTCATAATTTTTCCCCTTTTCTTTGGACCATATTGTAGTTTTCAGCTTCTGTCACTCTCCTGATCCTCGGTTTGGTTTGGGGGCCAGGAGGGCTGATTCAGAGGGACACACACATATTGCTCATGGAGCTAACTTTTGCAATGGAGCTAACTTTTTTGAAGCACGCTACAAATGTGTGTGTTCTTAGGTGTTACTAGGAAGTAATGTGTGGGAGAGTCATTTTGCTTGTTATCATGGTTTTCATTTTGTGTTGCTGTCATTTCCTGTGGAAAGATAGACTTCTGATTGTTACTATGGTCCAGCACAGTGTGGTCTAAGCTGGATTTTTCCATCAAAGCCCACAGTACCTCACCACTGTGGTAGCTGTAGTGTAGTAGCAGGACCTCATCGATTACCATCTTTACCAGTTTCAGGGTTTTTTAACAATTCTGAGTACTGGAACTCGTATTTCCCAGGAGAAATGCTACTACAATGCAGCAATCCCTTCCCACTGGAATGCATCCCAAGACAGTAATCTGATTCCATAAAAATAATTTTATCTTCATTGACAGCGGAGCCCACACCATGTTCTTACGTGCTTACAACGCTTCTGTTTCATAACCCAGTGACCTGACACACATAGATTTTATAACTGATGGTGTCACTTTGCTGGATGACTTTAGGAGAGCACTGCTGGCAGACTGCGAAAGCATATGCTGGCCATAGAAGGGCTCCTTTGGATTATAGCTGAGCTAATTTTCATCTAAGAACAAACATGGGCATGAAAAGCCTGAGTTTTCCAGTGCAGCTATTTCTTCAGTGCAGGCTGAGGATAATGTCATAGCAGCATTGTGGAACCAGCCTGGACTGGTTGGATGTTCAGCATGAGAAGATACATATATTAAAAGACCTAAAAGGAAATATTTGCTCATTGGCAGAGAATTATCTCCAATTCTTAGAAAGCTGCAGTGAAATGTGAGTTTAATGGGCATGGAGGAGAATTGGTTTTGCCATTAGAGCTGGTAGTGCTGCATAGGATTTCTTCTTCTCCTGGAAGACTCACACTGGTTAAGAGATTCTTAGGTCTGTGTCTAATCTCAGCTGGTTTGGTCAACTTGTTATGTTGGAGCAGGAGTGAAGTTTGGTGCTTTTAGAGCCAGAGGTTCTCAGATGTCTCCATCTGCTACGCTACCTGTGGGTTCACTCTGGAGGAGGTAGGGAATTGTCTTCTGTGTCACCTGATTAAAAAAGCCGTAAGATAACAAGGAGAAGATTCTTAACACAAATTAATGCCATACTTAATGTGTAGGAATTTTTTTTAATAATATAGACATGGCATCAGGAGAAAAGATTCAGAGCTGCTTAGTGGGATCTGTGTCATTCTCCTCTAGATGCAGGGCCCATTGTTATATTTTAGGCTAGAAAAAAATGCTTAAAATAATTGCTACCAAAATCAGTTGTTTACCTGTTTTTCACTAATAAATGACTTCTTGGGCTGCAGCAGTAAAGGTTAATATCAGGCCTCACAGAGGAGCATCCCCTCCCAATGAAGGGACATGTGGGAATGGTCATAGGTAGTAATACCAATAAGCAGTAAATCTTACTGCAGTGTAGAAAGCTTTTCATCAATTTCTGGTGATGATATTAAGGAATAGGAGAAAAAAAAATAGGTCTCTGAGGTGAAATTTTTTCTGTTGGTGCTTTTAAAGTCTTGGGACGTAATACAGTACCCGGCACAGGAGACATGACATTCCCTGAAGAAATGAGACCATACTTTGTGGACTGAAAAGATTTTCTTGTCTGCTTTTGAAGTCACCCTAAAATCCTGCTTACACTTCTTTCAGCTAAACCCAGGATGTGTGGGCCTGATCCTATCAGCACTTAATGTGCACACATCATGTTTTTCCAGTGTCAGGAGTCCAGAGCAGTGTGATCCTTACAGGCAACTTTGCCAGGGTCCAGTCTTAATGACTGAGTTATTCATTGGCTGGATTTGGCCCTCCAATGGGAAAGGTTTGCTTTGGTCTGGAAGCAAGTTAAAATGGGCCAAGCCAGATTCCCAGCAGTGTGGTGCCAGCTGTCAGCTGCACACAGTAGCAGCACCATAGCAAGTACGGCTACAGCTCATAGACTTCACACCAAGGACACATGGAGAAACAGATATGGAACTTTCCTTATCTGTTGTGCATTTCAGGGTTGAACCCAGAATTACAATCAGAAGGTAAAATGGAGCAGGTGTGTTCTATAGGTGTGTTGAGTTTGCATGGCCAGGTTCTGGTAGCGGGGCAGCTACAGGGGTGGTTTCTGTGAGAAGCTGCTGGAAGCTTCCCCCATGTCTGACAGAGCCAATGACAGACAACTCCAGGATAGACCCATCCCTGGCCAAAGCCAAGCCAGTCAGGAATGATAGTAACACCTCTGTGATAACACGTTTAAGAAGGGGGAAAAAAGTTACTGCACAGAAATAATTGCAGCTAGAGAGGAGTGGAGTGAGAATCTGTGAGAAAAACAACTCTGCAGCCACTAAGGTCAGTGAAGAAGGAAGGGCAGGAGGTGCTCCAAGTGCCAGAGCTGAGATTCCCCTGCAGCCTGTTGTGAAGACCATGATGAAGCAGGAGTGCCCCTGCAGCCCATAGAGGTCCACGGGGGTGCAGAGATCCACTTGCAGCCCGTGGAGGAACCAACACCAGAGTACGTGGATGCCTGAGAGAGGTCTGTGAACCCATGGAAACCCATGAGGGAGCAGGCTTCTGGCAGGGACCTGTGGATCCGTGGAGAGAGAAGCCCACTCTGGAGCAGGTTTCCTGGTAGGACTTGCGACCCTGTAGGGGACCCACGTTGGAGCAGCCTGTGCCTGAAGGACTGCATTCCATGGCAGACTGATCAGCAATTGATGGAGAACTGTTGCCCATGGGATGGACTCACACTGGAGAAGTTCATGGAGAACTGTCTCCCATGGGAGGGGAGCAGGGGAAACAAGATGTGGTGACCAGACCATAACCCCCATTCCCCATCTCCCTGCACTGCTGAGGGAAAGGAGATAGAGCTCAGGAAGAAGGGACTGGTGGCGGGAAGATGTTTTTAAGATTTATTTTACTTCTCATTATCCTGCTCTGATTTTGTTAGTAATAAATTTGATTAATATCTCCAAGTTCAAGTCTCTTTTGTCCATGACGGCATTCAATGAGTGATCACTCCTGGTCCTTATCTCAACCCATGAACCCTTTGTTATATTTTCTCTCCTCTGTCCACGGGTGGAGGGGAGTGATAGAGCAGCTTTGGTGGGTGCCTGGTATTCAGCCAGAGACAACTGAGGAACTGCCTAGTATCCATTCATTCTGGGCTCTGCACACAGAGCTGTGTCTGGCCATTACCTGAGCTTCCCAAGACAACGGGGAGGTGCAGGACAGGACAGACTGAGACCTATTTACTCCAAAGGCAGCAATAGAGTTAAGCAGCTTCATTATTTTATTTTTTGTTTTTGCATTAGAAAATACTGATTCACTGAAAAAAGTATTTGCAAGATTTATTGCAAAGCTGTCTCTCCCCAAAAATGGTTCCTTTTGCACGCATTCTTTTATAAAAATATTTTTTACTTTATTCAGTAACATGTCAGTAATGCACAGTAACAGGGTGAGTGAGATTTAACATTTTGAAATGTAATTGGTGTATAAGCATGTAATTTATGCAAGCATGAAATAGCCCTGTGTGATTCTGAAATGGCATTTCAAAATCTTAAACA